TGTGTTTCTGTCAGTAAGTCAACGAATGAGTATAGGGTTATGCTAATCATCCTTATTTGCAGCTGAGCCAATGCAACAATGCCTATAATAACGATAATTGAATTTGGATTACTCGAACTTTTCACAGCCAACAGCTTCATCACAGATAAGTAGGATCTTCAGATGACTCCAGCTTTGGGCAAAGCCACAGTACAGCAGATTTCCAGATACTACAGCGACCTACATTTCAGTTGTTCTAACTATGTTAGAGTTAAACACCTTCCAAACTTTCGTCCACCAAACAACCTATCACAAAGCTACGACATATAGATTGTAAATCTTGTTGGTTTTATCTAACTATATTAGAGTTAAACACCTTCCAAACTTTCGTCCACCAAACAAACTATCACAAAGCTACGACATATAGATTGTAAATCTTGTTGGTTTTATTCCTCAAATTCCATTTCTACATATACAGTACATAATATTGAATTATTACCTATAGATGTAATTCCCGCTCCAAAGAACGTGAAGATGACCAGTATTTCGGCAAATTTTGCCATTGTCCAATGGAGTGTAATTGAACGACAAGAAGAAAAATACGATAGAGTAACTGGCTATATAGTCACTGTTATAAACGAGACATATTTCTTTACTATCAAAGTATCAAATAGCAGTTCGTCCGTTTCTATAAACCATCTTTTGTCGAATACGAGCTACAGAGTTTCAGTCGTCGGGCTCAGCGAAGAAACTGTAGGAATGCCAAGTGAATGGATAAGTTTCAAAACAAGTTTAACTCAGGGTAAGTTTGAGCGGTAATTTATTTCTTGTTCTATAAGTTCAAATTGTTTACTATACACTTGGCTCCCAATCGACCAGGTGTTTGTTATTAAAAAAACTTTGTCTCTTGCGAAAAATTATCAATGGTCAAGCTCCAGAATATCTAACAACGAAATTAGCAACTTTCCGATTCCAAAGTCAATACAGTTTGAGAACAAAAATTGAGTATCGTCTTCCGAAGCCTAAAACCAATCAACTGCAAAGAACATTTTTCTATTCAACATTAAAACATTGGAATACATTGGGTGAAGAGAAGAATAGTACATTTAAAGTCACATTTAAAGTACATTTAAAGTAATGAATTCGAAGTTGCACCATATCCTCTTTTCCAAATACACAGTTGACAATTTCAAAGTTCAAAGATTATATTAACTCATATATAAATTTATTATTTTATTAATAGTGTGTTTTATAAACTTTTTATTTTTATTTACAAGTACATAATTTTCTTTACAATAACATATTGCTGTATTTATTTTGAGGGCCACTAGGGAGAATAGGCTACGTTTTGTAATTGGTGTTACCCTATTTAAACAAAGTTTATATTGTATTGTACAATGTGACTGATATAGCAACCTGATCACTGACTATAGTTCATATCAGATTAACACACATATTTAATGCAAATTGGTTATTTCAGTGCTTTACAAGCCCACTGTCTCCCACAGCTATCTTCTATTTTCCTCTTTTCTCCCCAACCACACAAAAATGTCGTTCTATTCTCTCAGTTCCTCCGTCTTCGCTGCATTTGCAACAAATATCATGACCTCCTAGCTAAGCGTATTGCAATTGAGGGAATTATCCCACTTGCCTATTCGAACGCCTTCCAAATTCCCAATCTGAGACTGTCAAACGTCTTCCATTTTCTCCGATAACCCGACAGTCTCTTTTCGACTCAGCAAATATACCTGTGAACGTTAAATCCCAGTTCGTTGCTCACTAGCACATGATTTGCATGTTTCCATGACAAGAAAAATCTTGTGAGTTTGTAGATTCCCCAAGCTACTACCATTTCGGCACCTACAGTAACTCTAAGTACGACATCAAGCACCATTTGTCCTCCCATATCTCATCCGCTTGCTTTATATCGTTGTAACTGTAAGACTTGAACATCGGGCTGCTGTCGTTGGTAACGATGCTAACCAATCTGTCGCCAGACATTTTAATAGTGGACATTGCAGTGTTTCAACCATAACATTGTGACACCCACCTATCCTGCTTAGATTTTTTTGCAACGGCCCTGGGTTCTCAGACCAAGGCTTTAATGACTGTATTTGAAGTCTATACAAATCATTCCTCTCTAAAAGTACACCAAATATTACACTCGTTTTAGCAGATAATGCAGTACCACAAATATCACTCATTGCCTCCAGCAGGGCTAGAATTGGATCTGTGTCCTAATATAGCACATGTATTAGACATGATTCATCTTTGTCAGTTCCTAAATGCATTGTTAATTTCCATGTAGATCGTCTCGGTCAATTTCCATGTAATGATCAAGGAAAAAGTAATGAAACCAAGGAAGAATCGAGCTTGAGTTTGGCAATTGTTATTCTACTCATCGCCATTATTCTGATCGCAATAATTGCGTCGGCTGCCTTTGCATTCTTTCAATTGCGCAGACGAAAATCACAGGATATTTCACCAAACCAGGTAATAAATATTTGAAATAATTGATGTCTATATTGTGTAAAAGTCGCGTGGCGCCAGCCGTAAAATCTGCTGCCAGATGTGCTATCATCTATTATTTATTTATTCTTTAATTCGCCCAATAATAGCCACGTCACAATCACGGCAAAATTATGTGGACTCTTGGTGTAAACAAAATTATAACTGTTCATGATCACATATTTGTGTCTTTGTGTCCCTGCTCCCCCGTGTCCAATATCGGTTGTGGTATTGTATTTCAAAAAGCTTTCCAAGTCAATCAAATTAATAGCTTCCAACATTGAACGAGGGGAGGGGGAAGCTGAATATTGCTGTTTTGTAAGGATTTTTAAGAGCAGGACAAGTATTTTTATACACACACGCGCTGTCTACAATAATTTTCGCAAAGATTGTAGATATGGCGAATTACTAAAGGAAGTTGGAAATGGATCAAGTTGCTAAAAATATGTACAAAATTCTGCGTTTATTTCATCTAACACTGAACCTATAGCGTAATTAGGTTCGCAAAACTTTCAAATATTGAAAAATCCAAATATTATGGAAGTTTACAATTATAACAGAACAAGCTTACACAGATGAAGGAGGAAGTGTAAAATTGCAATTACTGACAAAAGCAGAAAACAATTAGTTATTTAGATTGAGATGCCCAAAAACCTTGTATTTATACCCATACACCGTACCCTGGCATCATCTTAGTATTTATACATCAACATTCAACTTGCGGGTAGGGCTCGACATGCACTGTATCCCTGTAACTCAGGCTATAACGCGCTATAGGCCTACCGGTATAGCAGGGCAGCAGGTTTGATTCCTGTCAGAAGACCGAAAGTTGCACTTTTGCAACTGCGTGCTCTTGTAAATGTATAAAATTTCTACTCGAAGTTTCCGTTTACAAATCTGTGCGGCGCCCGAAAATCCTGGGGCCGGTTGCATAAAACTCTTAATCACTTTTTTAATCACTATTTTGTAGTTAAATAGTGATTAACTCTCAAATAGGCGCTTCTTATTGGATGAAATTTCCACTTAACCATAGTTAATTTTAATCACTTTTTTATACAACCGGCGCCAGATAGTTACCCAGTTTCAACAAGGGCATAGAACCTGAAATAGTTCGTTATAGTTCGGATATGTCAGACCAACCTACGTTTTGGTCAAACATGGTTGAACACAACAGGATTGAAACAATTAAAAGGCATATGTAGTTGTACGGGACATTACTCTGTCATTATTACACTTGCATATTTTTAAGAGAAAAAGGGGCAAATTATGCGCCCGGTTATAATATCGGTTTAAAGTAATTCGCAGATGGAAATATCAGTCTTTTGCGCGATTTATGTCCGATATAGCGACTGTTATTTTGGAATACTGATTGAAATATCTTTAAACAAAATCGATAGAGCAAATTTTGCTTCCTTACAGCTGATTTCCTCAAGCGACGTTTCTGTTAACATGGTCAGTAGTGTGCCAACGAATTTAAATAAATTAATGAATTTTTAAATAAAATTGTGCCTTTGGAATCAAATAGTGTATAGATTCAGAAACTGATTTGATCAAACATTTCCTGGAATACTCGAAGAGGAAGCTTCACATATAAAAGTATTCTAATTACGAAGCCATACAATAACTAATTTAATATCTAACATATTGAAAATAAAATTCTCGATTCTGATCAGCTAAAAGGTGTGTTTTTGTAGCTATCTATCGTAAACAGTGCCAAAAAAATGAAGTGCCAAAAAAAGAAAATTAATGCAGCCGTGCCAAAATGAAGTACGTGGTAATCGCAGGAACAAAGTTTGATTCCTCTCAGAGGCTTATATACTAGTTGCATTTTCAGAACTGCTCCTGTCTAAGTCTAATAATTGTGTAAAAATCACACTCGAAATTTCCATCCATATTAAAAATTGTCTACATCAAATTCTTGCAGGTAGTGATGGATAATCCCAAAAAATATCATAACGATGGTGCGTCGAATGATGCGGAAGGTTCAGTAAAAGTTATAAGATATGGACATTTTTCTTGGTAGCTATACCTGAAATTGAAAGAATCAATTAAAATTTGGAGAATAACAGATTATATAGATTATTGCTTTATGGTTTATGGATTTTTTAACGTGCACTTCTTAGACAAATGTGAAGTCACCAATCTATCGAAAATATAACCTTAAAAATATGTTTGTTTTGTGGATGCTCAAAAATTGCAGAAATGCAGTCATTGAGCAGCATTGTATTTGATAATGTTAATTGCACTCATGAGTGGAGTGCAAATTGATCTGAAGTCAAAAACGTGATTACAAAATTACACAACCGCGAAGCGAGAGTGCATGCGATTTGTAATCACAATTTTGATTTCAGACCAAAATTGCATGACACCAAGTGCAATTACCACTTTATTATATTCATTTTGAAATTTATTCACAATTTTTTAAAACGAATAACACCCTCTGATATTTTCTAAATGCCGTAGCGTAGGGGTCACCGAACTCATTTTTTGGCTATTTAGTGTTACCATTATTCGTTATGGTTGTCATGGAAACACGACTTTTGCGACACGCCTTACTATGTGTTGCAATTATAAGTAAAACTTAACCCTGTAAAAGCATTTAAACAGAAAATATTCAACTTTTGCTCCTTTGGCTAAAAAGTATATTGAGCCACCTTAAGCTTGCTATTCTCTATAAACGGCACCAAGATGCAAACGGTATATAAGAATGTGCATGCACCCGCTAGTAAATTACTAGCGGGTGTATACACATTCTTATATACCGTTTGCATATTGGTGCCGTTTATAGACAATGGCGAGCTTAAGATGCACCAAATCTACGACGCGTTCGTGGACAGTAGTACTCGGAGGGCGAGCGGGCGCAAACAGTTTCTCAAATTTCATGTATTTGGACTATTTGGTCATGAAACTTGAAAGAGCCTGAACATATTTCCTGGAGTTAAATAAAAGAGGAGATGGTTAACAATGTTTTTTATATGTTTTTTGTGTTTTTTTCCCTAAATTAATAAAACATGAATGGATTCCAGAACGACCTGGGCTCTGGATTCCGGATTCCTGAGTTATTTGGATTCCGGATTCCACTGTCTGGATTCCGGATTCCAAGACTCTGGATTCCGGATTCCTAAACCAACAAAAAGTCGGATTCCGGATTATCTCACAAGGGGCGAAGCGTAGTAAGAAGCGAGGAAGTTGAACTTTCTTTTAAATCTCGAAAAGTTTTACCAGCAAAAAATGAAGAAATTTATGGATACTGTGAAGACTAAATAACAACCAATATAAGTTTAAACATACCGCAGGTTTTAGTAGCAACTTGATCGGGGTTTAGTGGGATTTTGTTCATTCAAACATCAACACATTTTATATGAGGTATACTAATTACCTTGTTTATAGTTGTTTGCCTCTCGCTTTATTAAGTTGCTTTTTGTTGGTAGTTTCGCCATGTTACACAAAGATTCTGCTCCTAATATGCCCATAATTATTTGTTAATTGTTAACAATTTAAGCTATACTTTATCTATTTTTATATGCAAAAAATTAGCCATACAACATGGCAATATTCTGATTTGTTTATTTTGCTCAATTTGCCAGATCATATTTTTCTTAATATTGACTGACTAAGTTACTTTCAACACTTTCCTTTGATTGGCTAGCTAAGGTCACCACTTCGATTAGGCCTACAACTCATGATACGATTAGGCCTACAACTCATGCTGATGCGTGCAAAACTCAATATAGTGCAAATTTCAGCTCTAAAATAGTGCGATTGTGGCTGTAATCGTACTATTTTTAGCCGATTAGTTTACCCAAATCGCGCATGATTTCAAAATGAATATGTTAAAATGAGTTATTTATACGATTAGTAACCAGAGACATTAACATATTATACAGACACTGTAATGTTAAAGGATTTGCCTGAACTATTATTATACTGAGGGAAGACAAACTGTTAGGGTTATTTGTAGTAACCACTGGTCTGTGGAATATTCTACTTTTGCGTACCAATAAATAAATTAAAGAACGATCGATTAAGTCTTTTAAATAAATCTTGTGAGTTTTTAATGAACAATATTCTTCAAAATATTTTAGTAATTTGTAATGAAATTGTATTATATATTAGTTTTAACCTTTGGTTTGTTCTATGTAAATAATTTGTCTATAAATAATTTGTTAATAAAGTTCCATTCCATTCCATTCCAAATATATAAATTTTCGAGTGGAGGACATCCGTACCCGCTATCTTCTTCACAAAACATGCAATTACAGGTGCTTCTCAGAAAATTAGAATATCTTTGAAAACATTTCTTTGCACAAATTTGATCAAATCATTCCATGTAAAATAAAATATTTCTATTTTTTGTCTTAACATTATATACTACAATACCAGTATGGCGCAAACTAATCTAAATGTGAAGATATTATATTCTAATTTCCTGAGATGCACCAGTCTCTTCACGAAAGCCGTGGAAGATTTTATGAAAATCCTCGACGTAAACTGTTTTGGTAACATGGACCCTAACCGATACTGGCTCTTCTACTGATACCTCAAGGAAAACGTTTGTGATTTTTTCGAATGGAAACAATTAAAACCTCGTGTGCTCATTAATATTGGCATCAGTCGTGCTATTCAGTAATGCACTGCAAGGCGAGGGTACTAATTTCGCCAGGCTATTTGCACCCGAGGAAAGGAAAGCATTAGCGAAGGCTAAAGTTCATCAATGATCGCGGGCTCGTGACTATGGTTCATTGGTGGACTTACTCACTGATCTCAAAAATATGGCTATTAATTTGCCAGGAGTGGGATAAGCACACTGGGGATATTAAAAGACCCTCCACTAAAAATATATTGAAGTGCAAACAAGAGATTGTACTTACGTTAGGTTACTTGCGAAGTTTGGAAAGACAATTCCTTTTAGGTAAGGAAGAATTGCTCATCGAATTGCTCATTTGTAATTCTCAAACATTGTGTAAAATAACCATTATATGGAATTAGCAATGCATAATGGGTCATTAGCAGTGCATAACCATATTGACAATGCCTATGGGTAGCTTGTTTGTGCAGCGGATGACTCATTTGTTAGGAACTTGTTTTGACGTCGCATCGTAAACAAGCAAGCGTAATAAAGACAACGACGTAAGCGAATTTCACTTCGAAAATCATTGAATACATTCTCAGATCTATGGGAAATCGCCATCATGAATGATGTTGAATGATGTTATTCTTTATATTGCGAAATTTCGGTAAACTTGAGAATATAAAACGAAAAAAAACTTCGTTATCAAAGTGTCTGTCATCAAAATCGACAATGACTTTAATCACAGCAACCAAAACCTTGTGAGCGAACCTTTAAAGTTCAGAAGATATCTCTATTTTCGGCAAGTTGTCCGTTCGTCAAACTGTCCATTCGGCAAAATGTCCGTTCGGCAAAACGTCCGTTCGGCAAAACGTCCGTCGGCAAAATGTCCGTTCGGCAAAATGTCTTTCGGCAAAATGACTTTCGGCAAAATGTCCGGCCACCCAAAAATATGGTTGTTTTCCAGGAGGATATTAAAGCAAGATTTTAATTTTCAAAAGCATATATTTGGAAAATCACGGTTCACATGAATGAGCTTTGAAGCAATTTTTGTTTGAAGAAATGAAAAGAATTGATTTACTTTGGAAAATGGTGAAATATAAGGCAAGTTTTCTTTGAATGTTTAATGTTTGTGAATTTTGTTGCTTTGATAATTTATTGTGTAAAACATGCGCTGGTGTTTTCCTTTTCAGTGAAGCTGAAAGTTTACTAAATTACCTTGTTTAATTTAAGAAAATGTAAAGGAGAGCAAATTAATTTTAATTAAGACCTAATTATAAATACTCAACAATTTGAAGTAAAAACAGTTTATCGCTGAAAGCAGTTTAGTTGTTAAAATGAACATTTCAAAACAGTTAGGAACCGATTCAGGTTAAATTTTACATTATTAAATCAAAGCTCAAAAAATCCAGATCAACATACCTACAGTACAGATTTCGGAAATTCATTGTTACATACAGCTGATTCAATTAAAGTTGTCCTTCCAAAACCTTAAACCTTAAACTCTGAGCGCGCAAGGGATGATGGGTTTTACCAATTAGGCTCTTTTACAACATTTGTATGTGATGTGGCCATGAACACTACCTGACCCCACAAGATGAACCCAAATGGCTTCTAAATAGATAATGCATATGGATGAAAAGTTCATGAATATTGAAAGTATATTTACCAATTGATCATATAAACGTGCCCACTGTCTTTTTGCAATACCTCCTGAAGGGAGGATTTTTTCTTAAATCGCCCTACAACGCCTAAACTCGCATTGCTTAAAAGTTGCAGTTTTGGCTTAAATCGCCTAAAATCGCTAAAACTCGCATTGTCTCGCGGCAAGTTTAATTAAAAAACCATTAAGTTTATGCTTACATTTAGATCAATAGAATGTTTTTAACGGGTGACTTCACACCATGTAAATATATGCATTCCAAACATAGTTATTATAATATGATATCATAGAACGTAGATGATAGATTAACTAAATTCCACTCATTGTAAATATGCACCTGAGGAGCTAACATTGAAGCGAAAACGTTTGTGCAAAATTTGAGTGGCTTTTATTTTATTTTACGTTATAAATGTCTCTATTGGTTGCACATTGAAACCTTTTCTATATACAACACTTGTATCTTGTTATCAGCAACATTTCACTATATATATATATATATATATATAATTACTATTTTTACTTAAAATGTTTTTTGTCTCAAACAAGAGACAAAAAACATTTTAAGTAAAAATAGTAATTACATTCGCTCTACAAAATTTTATGTATTGAGCACTTTCTTCACTATACGTTACAAAACTTATATATATATATATATATATATATATATATATATATATATATATATATATATATATATATATATATATCATATGCAAATGTAGAATTTCTAAAAATGTAGAATATATAAAATTATAATTTTACAAAATTATACAGTGTTCTCCGAATTACAAATCTTCAAATCTATTAAATATATATATATATATATTTTAACATAATTAGACATAATTAATTTTAACATAATTAATTTTAATCATAATTAATTTTAACATTTGTCAGTGATTAGGTATATAAAGAACCTAATATTACTCGAACAATTAGCCCACTGAAGAAGCCTTAATCGGAGAAACGTTTGAACGGTTTTAATATTTTTAACTTTTTATTAAAATTTTAATGTCTGAAGAAGAATACAAACCACTCCTTATTAATACCAGACATGATACCTCAAACACCTTCATATATATATATATATATATATATATATATATATATATATATATATATATATATATATATATATATATATATATATATATATATATATTCCTTCCCCAAAAAAGGTGGTTCAACCGGATCGGAGAAAGTAGGCGGATGTAAAATGCAAAAACATCGTTTTTCCTATGTACTAGCTGTCTCAGTGATTTTTGCAGCATGAGCTCCACCTTTGAATTTACTATATGAGTAAATTCTTAAACACGTCCGAATTTATCATTATGATAAATTCGCAGCAAATTTTGAATTTATCATAATAATAAATTCGCGGCACCTAACACTAACCCTAACCCCAACCCCAACCCTAACCCCTAACCCTAACCCCTAACCACTAACCCCTAACCCTCATTTTTTAAACTTTTTAAATTTTTTTAACTTTTTCAAAAATCTAACTTTTTAAATTTTTTTCTTTTCAAAACTCTTTTAAAACTTTTTAAAACTTTTTTAAAAACTATTTTTTTGAAAAACACGAAAAACTCCCCACCTCCGCGCGGCCAGCTTCCCTTTTAGTGCCATTACATTTATAACAAGAAACCTTGTGCAATGATTGTGGTTTTACGATTAACTCTATTGATAAATTCAAAATGTGCCGCGAATTTATCATAATGATAAATTCGGACGTGTTTAAGAATTTACTCATATAGTAAATTCAAAGGTGGAGCTCATGTTGGATTTTTGACCGGTTGAGTCGCCATTTTGGATTTTCAAATTTGGCGCGCCTCTTCAGCCGAGTCAGCAGTCTAGGTCTCCCATATCTACGGTTAGCGCAGTCAAAGTTCATCAATAATCGTGGGCGCATGACTGCGCATGGGTGGTAATCTCACTGACCTCAAAAATATAGCTTGCCAGGAGTGAAGGAAACAAAGATTAAAAAACAAGAGAAAACTTGGAAATCGTTTCATAGAATAAGTTATAAATTATCATTTTAAAGAAACAATAAGTATGCGAAATTAATTCAGGAACATCTAGAGAGTTGTAGGAAAGTTGGATAAGTTACCCAGTGGCTATTCTTAATTGATAAACTTGATTGCAAAATGGAAGAGTTTGCCTTCGAGTGAGTTTTTGGGACTGCCTGGTATACTATACCTTATTCTAATGAGTAATCATCTAAGTTAAGGTTCTCGAATAAACTGTACGTACCTATAAAGGAAAATCCATTCTCTATAACCACACTCACCTGCATGTAGTAATTTCAAGCTGCCTTCCCTTGTCTTGACATCAATATTTAATAATAAGATTGTTTTAACTTGATAAGAACTATATATGCTCATCCGCGATAGGCATGGTTGCGCTATAGAGCGTGGGTTAAGTACTGTATAGCATCCGGTATATTTGAAATTAAATGCTCAAAGAACTTTCAGTATCAGATTGCTTTACTAATTTTATAAAGGCTGGATCAACAACACATCGTCTTTGATATCAGGAATTCAACGAAACGTGCAAAGTGAGTGACTATAGTTGGTGTATATAAAGTAATAAAATATATATATATATATATATATATATATATATATATATATATATATATATATATATATATATATATATATATATATATATATATATATATATATATATATATATATATATATATATAAGATTTGGTTTCGTTGGTTATAAAAACTTTTGGCAAAGTGCTCAATGGAAAACCAGAGCATATTTAAATTAAGGTACAACAATCAACAAAATCCACTAGGCATCTTTATTACTAAATAGTTTCGT